AGCTCGTTTTGCCATTTGTTTGCTGCGGTGCTCTTGTCCTTCGGCGGGGGTGGCATGATGAGATTCCCCAGCACTACATAACTGTCGTCGGAAGCTAAGACGCGCTGGGTTTTCTTAACAGCTGGAATGACAAGTGTGCTGTTCTGCATGTCATTGTAGTCAGGGAGAAAACCTGTCTGCGTTGCTGGCAGGCTTGTGGAATCTGCCTTCCGACGGTTGCCACGCTTGAATCCAGAAAGTAGACCTCGCGGGTGCTGGCTCGCTATTTGCATATGTTATTAGTCATGTCTTAAGCAAAGATAGTCGAACAATCAGTAGCATAAGCATAAAAGATCTTCATACCATCTCCATGGCAGCATGGTTTCTTCATGAGGATACAATTTCCACACTTATTCTCCTGCTCTCCTGGAATGCGGACACAAGCAGCGAAGATGCCAAGACCCTTTCGACAAGTTGCACACGGATCACGTACTTCGCCGTGCAACTGCACCAGAGTCGCTATTTTGCGGGTGACGTTACCCATATCGAGGAGAGTTCGTGGGTCGTTGACGCGAAAGGTGACATCTTGTGTGGGCTGGTAGTTATCAAGGATATGCTTCACCACTGTGCTCGTGGATTTCTTTGCGAATTTCCGGATGAATCCCCGCTGCTTGATAGGATCAGGAGGCAATTGCCTCCATTGCATGTCCTTCATTGTGTCGTGTCAAGATGATGCTGGTGAGCGTTGGGGAGAATCGACGCGACGATTTGGGTGATGGAAAGTGGGAAAAAATCCAGTCGCTGTTGACGTCCAGTCCGAAACGGCCTTTGGCCTTTGAGCTAGAGTCCCTCAATTTATTAAAGGATCTAACACCATGTGATCGCGAAGGGCACCAGGCAACGATGTGTGTTGATTCATCCGAAGACAAAGTCGCCTGGTCTATACGTAGGTAAACGATCCTGAATCAAGGCATACTAGGGAAGGAACGCGCACGCTGTAAACAAGGTGATCATGACTGGATAGATACGCATCAATTTCAAGAGAACGTCACCATAGAATGAAAGAGAGGCATTTATAGGTTGTGCTCATCGCCATGAGATGTGATTTCTCTACTCCATGCTACAGAATGACACCTTAGCAAACCGTATTCTCTCACAACGCTTTGCAGGCAACTCTCATGCCAGATTACCTAGGTAAGGCACGAAAATCTGGGGGAAGGCATATCTTAGGCATGAGGCAAACATCACGGTCTGTCCCTCGAGCTGCTCGAGCTGTAGCGCTTCGCAGGAGGAGCCCACTGAATGGCGTCTTAGCAGACATACCGAGGTACCCTCAAGGCAATTGGTATTGCAGGCTCCCGAGGTCGTCTGAAAAGCTTTCTAACCCAATCAGCTCTAGCAGAGATGTTGCGGTCACAGTCACAGATTGTACTGTGTTGAGTTTGTGAGCAAAACAACATCTTCGCCATGTCTCAATCAACCAGGAGGTTCGAAAGCCTAGAACGCCCGGGCCAATTTGAGGCCCAAGCTCCCTGGAAGCTCCGGAAGGCGAATGAGTGCATCACACGTCGTGGGAAAGTCGACATGTACCCGCAGCACACGAGCCACACTAATCATTAAGGTACCTACCTAGGTACCTAGGTAGGCAGGTAATAAAATATACGTGCCTAAAACGGATAATAACGACCGACTTCAGAAGGAGGCGCGGGCTGTGGCTAGTGTTTGTTTGCATAAGGTACCTACATGATTTGGCCCTGAGTGCATAAGAGGGCCGGGGACTACCTAGCTAGTAGGTGGTCACTGCCTTCAAAAAGCTTAGGTAATTTGTCTGGTCACTCCTCCGTTCCTTCACATCAACGAGTCGGTCATCCTGTTGGAATTGAACCCTTGCTCATATGTACGGTACATACAGCGCTAGACACCACTGCACGGGAATGCTCGCCCGCCCTACACCTACACACTACACACTGACAACGGCCGCCTGAAAGGACAACTCAGTGATCCATCCATCCACCAGGACAGGCCGTTACAGAACAGGGAGGGAGGCGACCCAGCACCCACGGCGATGCTGCATGCTGTATGCTTATGCTTGATCAAATATTAGCCCCCAAGCAGCGTGCCCCCTTCCAATTCCTAGGTAATCTATCAACGCCCGGATCGACTTCTCTGGACGCCTTATCTCAGTCGCAGCAGTCATGGCTTCATAAACTAGGGCCCGTCGCGCGACTCTGTATCGGACTTCGCAGCTGTGCAACGACACGGCTGAATCAACATCTGAAGTCAAAAGAAGACGGCGCATCCGAGCGAAGTCAAGGGAGATGCAGATGCTCGCAGGAGGCACAACACCAAGACCACCACCGCCGCCAAAGACCGTCGCGAGGATGCAGCCCGAGCGAGCGCCCAGCAGCGAAAACCACACGCCCAAACCACCACAACCACATTCGCAGTCACAATCACAACCACCACCAACTGCTGCGCCTGCGCCCGGCATCCAGCGCCAGCCATCTCAGTCGTCCATCCAGCTCATCTCAAAGATCCCCAAGATCCTTCCCCTGGAGCGCGTCTTCCCCATCCAGATCGGCTCCGAGCTCTTCAAGCTCTCGGGCGCCTCCATCTCTTCCGATGGTGAGTATTGGTTGGTCGCTTATCTCATCCCTCATAGCATCTTTTTTTTTTTTTTCCTTTCCTTTCCCTGTCTCTTTCAGCCCCATCTCTAACTACCTTGGAGCATTTGATGATACATTCCTTGGGATCTCACTCCGTGTTCTTTTTATATACCTCTCGATGAGATAATCGCATGGCGGGTGTTTTGTCAGCAGTCATATCGAACTCTTATTAGCATGGCTTCCTCGCCTTGAATTTCGCCTTAGTCTTTCCTTCGCCTTCTATTCATCTGCTGACTGGCCTTGCAGCCCCCTCATACTTCTCACAATACTTCCAATGCCAGATCAAGACGGCAGAGGAGAATGGCGAGGACATCTCCTCCGCCATACGCACTCTGTACATTGACAGAGATCCGGTGACGTTCAAGGACATCTCCCTCCATCTGCAGGGCTACCATGTCCAGCCTCGGGATGGCACCCACTTTGTGCGCCTCTTCGCCGACGCGCAGTTCTACAGCCGTATGAGGGTTCCTCAAACAATATCCCCATCGGCGCGCATTCATGACTGACAATACCCTAGTTCCCAAGCTGGTGTCGCAGCTGTACGAGGAGTCCATCTTCATGTCGATCGGGCACCGCGAGTTCCAGATCCCCAGAGACCTCTTTCAAGACCCAGGTAACAGCCCCAACTTCTTCTCCCTCGGCTTCGCCATCTTTTTCTCCTCGCCGGAGGACCTGTTCCCCGGCCTCGACCGCGAAGGCCTGATCCGGCCGCCCTCCATCATGCCACCGTCCGTGCCGAACCGCTCCGCCGATACCTTCGCCGAGCTGCTGCACCTGCTACGCGGCTACCCGGTACACATCCGCAACGAGGCGCACCGGCAGAGCCTGCTGCGCGACTGCCGCTACTTCAACTTCAAGGGCCTCGAGCAGCGCCTCGTCCCGCACTCCATCACCTTCAACCAGGCCCGCCACCGCGAGGAGATTGCCCTGCGCCTCGAGGACATCCTCAAGTCGGGCATCTCCGTCGCCACCGAGCCCACCGTCGCCGACCCCTCCGCCGGCTGGGTCAACTACGCGCGGCCCTTTGTCGACGACAAGCCCGCCGAGCTGGTCCTCGAGATCGGCAGCGAGGCCACCAAGCTGCACCTCTCGCCCTCGCTGCGCGCCGAGTTCTTCCGCGACGCCCGCGCCCGCGTCGCCCGCCTCTTCGAGGTCATCGCCACCAAGCTCAACCTGCCGCCCACCACGCAGCCGCTCGGCCTGCTCATGGCCTCGGGCGGCGCCTCCAGCCAGCCCGCCACGCCCGGCAACACCCCGCTGTCCGAGGACCTGGTGCGCGTCGTGCTCGAGCCCGAGACCAGCATCACGCTCGACGGCCGGCCGTACACGGGCCACTTCCTGCCGTCCGCTCAGCCGTCGTCGGCGGTGGCAACCGTGGGCGGTGGCGCCGGCGCCGGCGCGGCGGGGGCTGCTTCGTCCGGCAGCGACGGCGACGACCTCTTCGGCCCGTCGTCGTCGTCGGCGCCGTCGAGCGCGGGGCCCGTGGACGTGGTCGGCGCCTCGCCCACGTCGCTGGGCGGGCTGCCGCCGAGCAGGAAGAGGCGCCGCCTCGACTCGCACAGCATGGGCGGAGGGGCGGCGGCGGGCGGCGGCGCAGGAGCCGAGGAGTGGGTGGTGCGGACGGGCCAGTGGCGGCTGCGNNCTGCGCATCCAGGGCGCGAAGAACGGCAAGAGCGCCGTCGAGTGCGTCCTGGTGGCGGTCAAGCTCGATGCCATGAGCTCCGAGCACGCGCGGAACGCGCAGCGGGGCTTCTTGAATGCTTGAGCGAGATTCAGCGGTAGGTTGATTTGGACTAGACGTTCGTTGTGTTACTAATTCCTAGAGGTTGCCGCTATTGCGATTGGTTTTATCATAGCGATGGATTTCTGAGACTTGTAGGGTCCCTTGTATAGTATATATCCTGTAATCTTGAATATTTGCACAACGTTCCTAATGACCTTGGGCTGTGATTTGTTCTACAGTCGATACTCCGATTGAGTTACCGTGTAGGGGGTTATCTCGATACTACAACGAATATGTCACTGCATGAAAGATTGCTCAGCAAACTTGAATGGTATTATGTAGACTAAATAATCCAGTCCCTGGTTGTACAATTTAATTCCAAAAAAAAAAACATTCAAAGTGTCCTGCAAAGTCTGCCCCAACTCCGTACTGCATTTGACCCGCTGACACCCAAGCAATGCAAGACCGTTTTCGTCGTTCCCGCGTCGCCGCGTTTGGCGTATGCACATTGATCATCTACAGTATGTAACCTAGAAGAAGTAGTAGCCTCCGCATTGCAGAGACGAGGGCGAAGCCAGGATGACGTCCGCCTAGTATTTTGATCCCAGCTTCATGGTCATGACCGCACCTTGCTAGTCACCCGTGCGGTCGGGGCGCTCAGGTCTCTTCTCTCCGTACTGACCATCTGTTTTCTTGGAGTTGCCGCTCCCTGTGCGACGCTGCGAGCTCTCCCTCTGCGCTCGCGAATCTGCGCCAAGGCCTGCTCACGTGTCATTGTTGGTGTCAGTGCCGGATTGTTGATGTCGAAAGTCGGCTCATCGGCGCGTTTTGGATTGGAAGGCGTTCGTTGGAGAGCGAGTAGACGCTTGGCCATGCTAGGGTCCTCGGTCTCCTCTCGAATCGGCACTTTGGTAGTAGTGGTAGCCTCACGGTAGAAGGCGGCTGCAGTATGAGGACGAGAGTTGAAAGACTCCTTCAGCTCTCGAGCCGTACGTTCTTCATCCTCATGAGGTTGTGAGATTGGTCGGATTGTTTCTCTGTTCTCATCTTCATATATATGCACATCAGCAACGACAGTTTCCTCAATTCTCACGATAGTCGCTTTCTGCTCTTCGCGTACAGGTCCGGGGGTAGTAGGGATGTTGAAGACTGGTGTCTCTTCACGCTGATGCGGCGCCTCAAGGAGAGAAGCCAGGGATGCTCTTTCCTGAGCAAGGAGAGCAAACGCCGGTGGTTCGACAGACGGCGTGCGGGCGTAGAATGGAGGATTGTGATTGACCTCCATCGGTGTGGGTGGTTCAGACGCCGAGACATCATCCTCGACGGCCTGCGCGGCTTCTATGGCCGCGGCCTCTTCCATCGACACGGTTCGAAAGATTCCTTGCTCTGGTAAGAATATCGTTCCTCGCCGAGGCTCCTCCTTTAGCTCTCGCATAGGTTCTTCCCGTGCTGCTTCGAGCTCTGTCTTTGTAGGAGAAGGAACTGTCGGTGCATCCTCAACAGGTGCTACCGCCTCACCAAGGATCATACGGTCAGAGGGATCGGCAATCTCAATGCGCTCGGGTCGCTTCTGGCGCTTCGAGCCAAGAGTGCTCGATCGAGGCCGGTTCTGCATGCATGGGCAAGCTCGCAGATGACATTCCGCTTCAAGATACTCAAGATGGTCGGAAGCACGATCAGCCCGCTGCTTCTCCCACTGCCATAGTCGAGTGAGCTCCTCGATCTCTGCCTCGCTTGATGCGGATGACTTAACGTCCGCGACGGTGAGTGAAGACACACGAGGCCTCTTCTTCGGCGAGGCGAACTCATCGTCCTCGGCTGCATTCTCTGAAGGTGGCAGGGGGAGCTTGCCCTCGGCTGCGATCCGCGCAACGTCCTCCTCCGTCTTAGCCAACGTCTTGAAAGCGTCGCGCTCCTGCTCAACCACCTTTATCTTCTCGAGCGCCTCATCCAGCTGTTGTTGCACTCCGACCAGACCATATCTGGCAGAAAACGCCTCCTGCTCTCGCGCCTGGCTGCGCTCCTTCTCGCGCTCGAGAGTCTCCTCGGCGGACTTCTGTGCCGACCGCGCAGACTTCAGCTCCTCTTGCAGCTTGACGATGACGCTCTGCGACTTGAATGTCTCCTTGCGCGCGCGACGAATCTCCTTCTCCCACAGAGCTTGTGTGTGTGCGTGTGTCTCTTTTGCGCGGCCATAATTCTCCTAGCCACCATGTTAGTCTTCAACGTTGCCTGGCGCAAAGCTAGATTACCCGTACCATCACGGTTTCGAGCCTCTCGCCAACCTTCCGTTCCCTCTCCCTGCCCTCCTCGACCTGTTTGCGCAGCTGCCTCGCCTCGTCTCTGTACCGGCGCATCTCGCTCTCGGCCTCCTCCCGGCCCAGCATCGCGCGCTTCAGCGCGGCGTCCGCCGTCTTGCGCTCGAGCTGCTTCGACTGCACGGCGAGGGAGTTGAATTGGTGGATCTTATCGTGCACCGAGCTGTCGCGCGCGTCGCTGCCACGGACCGACGAGAAGAGGGCCGAGTCGCGCAGCTGGTTGACGCGGTCCTGCGAGGCGGGCTGCAGCGCCATCGTCGTCGGTGTTGGTGTTGGCGAGCCGTCGCGGCTCGAGGATGGCTCGACTTCCATCGCGGATTACTGTCAGGATGGTAGGTGCTCTCTCATACAAAAAAGGCTGATGATGGAGAAGCGGTGATATGTGTATGCTAGCATAGGAAACTGCAAAATATGCTGCCGATTCGGAGCTCTGCTGTAGAATGTTCGGCGGTGCGATGCATACAATGCAGTGCAATATCACGGCCGTTATCCGTACCGTATGGTAGCTTAATTTAGTCTGGCTGTTTACTGCCCCCATCTGCCCGCCAATGCGCTACTGGCTGTTAGTGGAGGCTGCTGCTGCATCGAGTTGCTAGAGCGACGCGTGGGCCTGTGATCAGGCACGTGCACCCGCCGAGACACACCTGAGGCGGGCCAATGATGCGGACCGTAGGCCTCCGCGCAGCACAGCCAATCAGTGCCCCACCATTGTCATACGGTCAGAGGTCCCTCGCAAGCCGTCGGGTGGGATATCTGGCAAAATCGAGTGTCGTATTCGTCTGGTGCTTTTCTCGTGCTCCTCTCGCCTTGCAATGTAGTACCATTGCTTTCTACTGTTCTTCTATTCTTCTCAAGTCTTGTAATAATGGCGGATTCGGAGTCGACCGTTCGGCAACGGAAGCCCAAGGAGGCTTCCGACAAGCTCCAAGACGAGCCTACAGAGAAACCCACAGCCGTGCCTTTGAAGAAGAGGGCTAAAGAAGAAGACGCCTACAGCCCGTGGCTCGATGTCTTTCGTGTCCTGACGTTCCTCTTCCTGGCTTCGTCGGGTCTGAGCTACCTGGTTTCAAGTGGAGAGTCATTCTTCTGGAGCATGAAGGTGCCTCCCAAGTATCTGCAGAAGGAATGGTGGACAGACCAATTCGTACGCCATAGCTATCAAGGTCTCGGAATATGGCCTCTACTGACAAGTTCCAGCGTGGTCCGATTCAATTGACCCCAGCCGAGCTCGCCGCCTTCGATGGCACCGACCCCAAGAAGCCCCTCTACCTGGCCATCAATGGCACAATCTACGACGTCACCCCGGGCGCCCGGATGTATGGGCCCGGCGGATCCTACCATTGGTTCGCCGGCGTTGATGCGGCGCGGGCGTATGTGACAGGATGTTTCTCTACGGACCGTACACCGGACATGCGCGGAGTGGAAGACATGTTTCTGCCTCTCGACGACCCCGAGGTGGACCGGCTGTACACTGCCGCAGAGATGAAGAAGTTACAAGAGGAAGAGTTGCAACAGGCTAGGAAGCAAGTGCATGACGCGTTGAAGCATTGGGTGGATTTCTTCGCGAATAGCAAGAAGTATCACAAGGTCGGTACGGTCAAGAGGGCGCCGAACTGGCTGGAAAAGGAGCCGAAGAAAGACCTATGTGAGGTCGCCGCTAAAGGCAGGAAACCGAGAAACCCACCGAAGAGGGACTGAAAACCCTAGGGGTGAATTATAATCCAACTGCATTAGACGAGCCCTACTTGTCATCTTGTGCATAGACTGAAATAGTGCCATAGATTACATCTCAGATCACTTGCGAGAAAGACGTATAGACACCCGGGTTTACCAGATCGAAACAATCAATTTGTAATGCATGGTATGTAAACGCACGCCGTGGCATGGATCATATACAGATATCATAGCCGTCGTCCCGCTGGCCAGAACAGAAGCAGAGAAGAAGAAAAATATAAGAATGGTTCTCTGAAAAAAACACCGGTTTTTCCTAATCATAAGCGATTTTACACGCCTTTCCCATCCCAGCTCTCATCATTAGATACTAATTCCACAGATTTCCCAGCCGCGTCCTCCCCATACTACCGTCCTGCCTCTTATAGGAGGAAGAGAGCAGCAGCAAGACCCAGCAGGCTGAGAGAGCCAGAGGTCTTGAGGACGACGCCGGCGCTGGTGCCGGTGGCGCCGGTGGTGCCGCCGGTGGAAGTGCCGGTTGTGCTGGTGCTGCCGGTGGTGCCAGCAGCTGCGGAACCAGGAACAATGATGGTATCGGTCTTGGCGAGCTCCTTGAAATTCGCGAGAGATCGGGTAGAATTAGCAGCGGTGCTGTCAAAACTGTCAGTGACTTCGATTCCAACTTTAACCATCGCGAGGACGTCTTCTACTCACTTCTCGTTGATGACCATGACCATACCAGCCTGGCAATGCTTGCCCTGGGCGCAGTACACCCACATGGGCGTGGTGTTGTTGACCATGATGGTGTAGGTAGGGATCATGCCCTCGGCGGCGCTGGCGGCGACGGGCTGGAAGCCAGAGTGGAAGCCGGTGGCGTTGCTGTGCAATGAGACGGGCTGGCACGGGCTGTCGAAGGCGGACTGCGTCACGGTATGGTTGCCGGCCTCAAACTGGAACTGCACCATCTGGCCTACGGTGGCCTTGATATTGTCGGGCTGGAAGACCAGGGCATTTGACGAGTTGGATACCCGGACGACGATGACATCGGTCGACTGGGCTGTTGGCTGTTAGTTACCGTGCTCCCCACGATTTCTTGGGTCTTATTGGAAACCACAAGTTGTTTCCTCTCTTCACATACCAGCAACCATGCTCACGAGAGCGGCGAGGGCGACAGATGCGAAATGCATTTTGAATGTTGTGTTCTGGTAAAAAAGGATGTCGAAGTGAACAGAAGAATTGACAGTTGAATCGAATGAATGACTGTATGTATATAAAACAATTGGAGCGACTCGCGCTGTCAACGGATAGGACTAGCCTATAGAAAGAATTAAGCTGAAAACAGAAAAAAGGTAAAGAGAGAAAAATAGGAAACCGAAATTCCTTCGACGATGTGAGAATGCTGGAGGAGAAGGAAGGAAACCAGACACACCAAGCAAAGGGGAACGGCATGAATATAAGGGACGGCGGGCACAGGGCACTGGCACTCTGTCTGTCTCTCTCGGAAGAGTCCAGGATCTGCGAATGGTGAACCAGACCCTTGTCTTGGTGTCTGAACCTCGAGGGCCAGGGGTGAGGCTAGGAGGCTACGAGACTAGGAGGCAAAGTGAGGTCCTTGAAACATCACGGGTGTTTGGACCGCCGAGGGCTCGACCTGGCACCCTACCACTACAGCTCCTAGGTACCCTTCCAGTGCGGACCTTGGCGACGGGTTACGGAAAACGCATCGAATCACTGCGCGTACACCATCCTCAAGAAACAAGATCAGACGAGGCCGCCTGTATCCACCGCTGGGTGGCTGAAGAAAAGGGAGGTGAGAGACTGTGCAGTTGATACATACCAGCACATATGCACTTGCATCAATCTAAGAGATTAGAGCCCCCATCACCCTCCCCGCAGTACTACCGGTACTGAGATTGTCGGGAGATGAGCACACATGGCAGTTGCACCTTGGCGGCTCCGGAGAGACTGACATGCCGAGAGAGGCTTGTCTTTTTCTAATTGTAGAAGATCCATTGATACCCTCAGCGATTGGAGTGAGAATCACAGCGCGAGGATGGCAGAAAGAGTGTCAGCGCCAGCAATAGAAGCATCGTGAACCAGTAAACATGATCCCATCGAAAGGAAGCCGCTGGCCGCGCGGTCTCCGGCCAGCATGCGCTGGGAATCGTAGGGTGACAATCATCACGATGCGCTGAGGCGTCGAAAGCCGCAGAGGCTGGGTAGTCGGATTACACTGTAGCCGGCCGGGCAGCAGCACCAGCAGCATACATGGAAAATAGAGTTGCAGGCGGCGCACAGGAGAAAAAGTGAAGTGACAGGACAGGGCTCGGCAAGGGGCTCTGCACGGTTATGGTAGTGCCGCAGCCTGCGACAACTCTAAAACTCGATTGGGTTTCATGCACCCATACGGGCAGCTAAGCGAGGGGGTCCCCGACTACCCGCCCCGGCGGCTCTGCAACTTTAACCTACTGCTTATTGTACAACTCTCTGTCTGTGTCTGTCCACACACATCAAGTCTGTGCTGGTAGGAAAGCCACGGCTACGACCTACCCTGATGATGCTGATTCTCCTCAATCTCTTGGTCTCGGCCCCCGAGATTGAAGGGAGTGAGGCTTGTGGCTGTATCTGCCCTCTCGACATGCCCAATGCTTGTTATTCATTGCAGGTCTCCTCTCACTCAACGACTGAAGCCAAGACAATTTGATGTGCAACGAGATGCAGGTTAACGGGAGATCATTGGAAACCCCATGCTCGGCTTCAAGAAACATCTGCTCTTTCCTAAGGGGCGGGGCCTGTAGGCTCAGAGATATAAATGAGGAAAGCTGAGCAAACCTGAATTGTTATGATTTAGCAAATTCATTATTTTCCACTCCACGATATGATGATGCGATAAAATTGTATCGATTGCTTCACCTCACCACTCCTCCAAGCCAAAGAGTCAAGAATCCGTATGAGACTACAGAGTACGACTCCAAGTTGAGATGACAAGATTTTCTTCAAAGTCTTGGAAGGGGTTGGCATTTGTTTGGGCATGGCCCGGGGAGCCTGGGAAGTGTAACCCTGCTCATGTGTATCGTCAAAAAACAACCCTTCCCCTTTCTGAGATGTTTCCTAATGTTTCACCAAGTTTACGGCACAATCTCGCACATATCCCCACGAATGAGGCCTGCCTATGGCCGGGCGATCTCCCATGAGTCCTCTGACTGAGCCGCATATACGCTTACTGCCCAACAGTTTGTGGAGGAAAAGCTCAGCGGCTATTGACAACAAGCCTGGTGAGTTTTCTAGATGCGAAGAACTAGCTGTTGCCACGATAAGGCACCAGTTCAGCTATCGTGAGGAGGGAAATCTGTGCATCACTATTGAGATCTCAAACATGTTTCTGGCTACTCTGAAAGACGCGTCACTCTCATGCTTTCATAGATTGTGTCCTCATAATGGTTCCAGACTTGTTTAAAGATACGGAGCTTTTGCTACCAATACAATTCCAGACCGATTCCTATCTGTCTAGTCTGTGACGATCCGGTAAATGCGGCAACGTACTCCACCGTAGCTACGGATTCCTATTCTTCTCCTTCAGAGTAGTAAATCTACCGACGGCCGGGCGTGGGTGTGTCTGTGGGCTGCACCCCCGAAACCCACAACCCCGGCTGACGTACGACATCTCAAGCAGCGCCGCTTGAGGTTCTGTAGGATGCCACCTACTCAGACGCTGGGCTGGGGTAGTGAGGAAGCCTCCCATTCGCTTTACGTCTCAAGCACCCCGCGATGTCGTGACATTGTGTGGGAACATGGACATCTCGCGCCTGCACTGTCCCAGCTCACCGTGATGCTCCAATAGTTTCCGAACTGACGAGGCTCGAGAACGGGCCTCGCCTTGAGCTGCCCTGCGCATTCATGCGTTAGCGCATGCCAGACGAGGAAGGAGGATGCAGCTCGGCTCCATTCTCCGAGATCGACTCTGGTGCTTGACATACCGTCCGGAAGCCGGAATTGATCACGCTGTCACTTGCCAGAAAAAACCACTGGGCTATCGTGGCCATCCACGTTCCGCTTTGTGAAGTCTTCTGCTCGTCAGCCATCTGGCCATCGCCAGCGACCAGCTCAGAGATCAAGCAGAAGCTGCGGCGCGACCTTCTCGAGGTCCTCAACCTGCCATCGAACACGTGAGCCACGGAAACGAAACGGGAGGCATCATGGCAGCATCAGCAAGCCACAACCAACCTCTAGAAACCCGCTGTCCCGCTCGACAGCAGCCCGCGCAATCGCCTCCCGCACGAAAATGTCCATGTACCTAGCGACGGCTCCATTCGCGTCCTTTGTTATGCGCGTGCCGTCGTTCTCGAAGAACTCATGCAGGATGCGCGTGAGCAGCTCCGGCGGGATCGTCTTCGGCTGGCCCTCGTCCTCGTCCTCTTCCTCTGCGTCGTCGGCAAAGTCGTTCGCGTCGGCGTCCTCCGCGGCGGTGAACGATTCCTCCTGTTGTCTCTGTTGGGGGCGCTGTTTGCCTGTGACTCTCGGCTTGCCTGCTGGTGCGTTTGCTTTCGAGGAGGGTCGGCCTCGAGGGGCGGACGTGGATTGTTTGGGTGGCATTGTAGGGTGTCTGCTTGTCGCTCTAATCTTGCAAGGCTCGGCTCAGACACGGCGAGTGCTAGAGATTTTGAGACTGCTAGGGACGAGCAAGATCTGATCTAAGGAGAGGTTGGTTCTATCCTGCAATGGTAAAGTAAAAGAGCTTTGTGAGAAACAATCTTCAAACATGTAAATAAGGTAACGACCTAAACGCGGGGCAGCTGCTTCACGCGCACCGCTCCCAGTACCTAGAACCACCAACAGAGCCAGCCAATCAAAACCACCAATGCCATCTTGGACTACCTACCTAGGTAGATACACAGAAGATGTCACAAGACAACAACCCAACCTGTCTGAGATGATGACCATCACGAGGTGTAGAGCAGTAAACTTCGAAGCTACGGGTATTTTAGACCCGGCTTCGACAAGCGGATCGGGCCGGTTGGTGCTACGAAAGTATAAAGCAGTAAGCTGTAGCTATCGCGAGTCGTTGTGAGACATCGACGACCAAACTTGTCCATACCGGCGAAAGCTGCAAAATAACAACCTCGTAGTAACGTATCCAGTTTACAATTGCTAGAAAAGAGGCATTGACCTGTTTTCTTGACGTGCTGGTGGTAGTTTTCCATCGTCATTGATACTAGGGCGCTGATATGGAGAGTTTGGTAGCAAAACTTGGCTGATGTCGTTCTGATATGACCAGGGACCAGGTAGTCAAAGGGCATACTACACTTGTCGAGAAAATACAAATCACATCATCACACATTGGAAAATAGAAGAATGATTTGAGGCAAGGAAATCACTTTGATTCTGTTATTGGCAACGGGGAGAACCATTGTGCAGTGGAATCTATCAAGTCGTATGCATCTAAAGGAAAAACAGACCACGGAGAAGAAAGTCGTGTCCAGTGGAGATCGTCGCAAGCAGTGGAATACACCTTGGGAAATTGCTGAGGTTTATAATTACAGCGGCTCGGAAGAGGCTACCTAGACGCGACCGATGAAACGCCAGGCTGCTCTAGACCAAGACCGCAAATCGGTTGTTCCAGGATACCTATCAGCCAGACGGTGGCGGATGATATCTGAAAAAAGCAACCTCCCGCCGCTCACTACCATCTCGCCCCTTCTATCAACCATCCCCTCATCCGGCCATCACCTCCACGTCTAACAGGCCATCACCATTAACCCCCCGACCCTCCATCATGAGATTGGATTGTTGTACAGTGGGTTGAGCGCTTAACCGGAACCGCCCTTGAAGGCCTTGCCGAACATCAGGACCTGGAGCTGGTCATAGATGGACAGCACACCAGCACCAGCGACACCACGGAGGATGTTGGCACCAGCACCCTTGAAGAGAGACTTGACACCCTCCTTGGCAACGATCTGCTTGAAGGCATCGAACGAGCTGCTATACTTGACGGCCTCACCAGAGGTCATCATCATTCGTCGACGGACAGTGTCAAGAGGGTAAGAGGCGATACCGGCACCGGTGGTGACGCACCAACCGAGAAGGAAGGAGGCAAGGAAGTTGTTGGCGAGGGGACCGACCAGGAGAACGGGCTTGATGGAGTCGTACATGCCGAAGTACAGACCACGGTAGACGACAATACCAAGGACGGAAGGACCGAAACCACGGTACAGACCAGCAATACCATCAGAAGCCAGAGTCTTGCGGTAGACATCAACGAGACCGTTGAACTGACGCTCACCACCCTTCTTGGCAGACTTGGCGTCGTTGGCAAGACGGGTACGGGCGTAGTCGAGGGAGTAGACGAAGAGCAGAGAAGTGGCACCAGCAGCCTAGTAGACAGTTAGATATAGATGCATCGCATGAGGATGGATTTGGTAAGAGGTCAAACTTACACCACCGGAGGCCAGGTTACCAGCCATCCACTTGGCGTAGCCATCACGGTCCTTCTTGTAACCGAACATGGCCTTGAACTTGTCACGGAAAGCGAAGTTCAGAGCCTGGGTCGGGAAGTATCGGATGACGTTGGCAGTGTTACCACGCCACAGGGACATGACACCCTCATCGGCGGTGGTGCGGCGGAAGCAGTCAGCGATACCAGCATATCGGCGGTCAAGACGGCCAGCCTTGATCATCTCATCCTGTCGTGGTTGTTAGTAACTGGTGTTGTATGGGGAAGCTAACCGATGCAGATCCGCGATGGCTTTTGCACGTGACACAGCGTAAGCGACCAGGTCGCTTGATCTCTGCGATGCGGCTCAATGCCTTCGGGATCACAACGGCGAGCCACAGACGAGTTTCTGTCCAAGACGTACCTGGTTCTGGATGAGAAGCTTGACACGCTCGATGGGAGCGGCAGCGGTCTTCGAGACGGCGGCGGAAACACCACCCACTGTTGATCAAATTGTCAGTTTCCGAGCTGCCAAGTACCGAGGATGGTGGCTGGGAGAAGTCGCGCATTGATCGTCATCTAGGCGATTGCAGCGACTTCACCTGGGGTCGATGGCTGGTGTTTATGAGGTTACATACTCAAGAAGTCGGCCACGAAGGGCTGTTCAATTGATACGTTAGCTTCACGGTTGCCATATCAAGCGGGAAAAAGATTTCCAGGGGCGGCGCGATAAGAGCGTGGGCACCATCGAGACAGATAATCATCGCAGTGCGCGAGCAAATCAATCGAGGCCGGGTCAATTGACTGCTGTGCTTGCGATGCTCGATGGCGCTGAAGCTCTGAGGCTGCCGATGGGATGTGCGCGAGGGGATTGGGATTGATTCATGATGGGTGGGCAGGCGAGTGATGGACGAATGGAGATTTACTTACCGGCATGCCCATGACGGTTCCCTTCTCAACAGACATCTTGATCGGGATCTGAAGATGGTCGCTCTAGAAGAGAAAACGAGACGCAGAAGAAGGTGAGTGGAGATGACAGACAAGAGCTGAGATGGTCCCGATGGAAGATGGGAGAGGAAGAGAAGTCGTGAGGAAATAAATCGTCGACGACCGAAGAAGATTTGGGGGAGAGGGAAAAAAAATTGCTTGTAGGCCCAGGAGCTGGAGCGGGAACAGCTTTTGAGCGAATCTTCCCGGCGGCGCTAGGCTCATCTGGCGGTAGGCCCGCCCACCTTTTGCCCCCTTGGCCTCTGCAGGCTCTGCTACGGCAACCGCCAAAGCCCTCCCAAGTCGCTGCCAAAACGCATTCTTCTCCCAGGTGCGGCCTCAAGTGCGGCCTCAAACCTCAGGCATCTCCCCTCTCGGCCGTGGCGCTAGCCCGCCTGCAATGCCGGTTCACCCCGAATTTTGCTCAGTGGGACGGACCCCCAGTTCGCACACTGCACAGCTACTGCGTAGTAGCTAGTAGCTCCGGCTGCTACGCTCACCTAAGGGTACCGACCAGGACCACTAACGTTCGTAGCCAATCTCGTTTCCACCGTCGAGTTTTCCAGCCTCAGATCCACCATCAATCCTCGAGATCCGGCCTGCCTTGCCTTGTCTTCGTACCTACCCAGGGTGAGCTGGCAGGCTGGCAGGCTGGCTACGGCGGTGACGGCACTGTCATGCGGACGCCTATAGATAGGTACTGTTCCTCTTCTTGAAGACAACATGGGATATAGATGGATATATGACTTAGTTGTCTTGTCCACATGACGAAGCTCTGTCAGCTGCCTCTCCTAAAAGCTGGGCAAACAGTTTGTTACAGTACATGACCTCGTAATATCTCTGTCGTCCGGCCGGAGAGACGTCCCAATTGTTACCGAGCTACCCAGAGACATTTTCTCGGCTCAAGATTGCGACTCTCCAGGTTTCTCGGGCAAAGGGTGCCAATCCTTCCATCGCCCATCGCTTCGGGGTATTTTAGCCCCCCGGCCGACCAATTGCATCCACTACAATTTCTGCTTTCCTCGGTCCATCCGCTAGACGCCTTGCTTTTAGTCCCTAGAGAGCTGGTGGTCTCTGCTGTGCACGGTCGGCCTCGTCTACAAAATATTTCTTCTCAGGTTCCACTCAGGGTCAAATCCGTCGCTGTACCTATGATTGCGAAATGTGACATATCCATGATTCCTACCTAGGTACCGTATCCAGGCCACAGCTGGGTATAGTGCTGAGCTTGTGCACGATTCTCGGCTAAAATCCAGCTTATAGAGCTCAAGCTACGATCCGCATCAACCTTGAGTAGAACCCCTGTGTTAGGGACAAAAGATGTGATTCATATACTACAAAATCAAGAATCTAAATATGCATAGACAGAACTGGGTAGTTGGGTGGCATAGCTTGGGGATGTACCGGTATATCTTCCTCCTCATGTTGGTGACGGGTGTTCCGATGCCTGCCAACTAGTTGTTCATAGAATAACGACCTCAAGACGGTAGCGATAGGTAAAGTTGTCTTGGGTTATTCTTCGCCAATCTAATTGATAGCGAACCTCAATGCGGGTGTCTCTTTGAATGCCATAAAGTCGAGTTTACAGCAGAGTTACGTCTGAGAAAACGTCACAATCTTGCCTCTTTATTCCTTGTCCCAGATGTGGTTCAGGGACACTAGACTTCTAGAATCCAGTCCGCATCAGACTTATTTTTCCTGCAATCGTACATGGGTGAAAATAGGCCTCCATTAGCGTCAGGGCTGTGGGTATCTCAACGACAGAAATGAGCCTGTATCATAGATACCTTTCACGCAAGGCCAGAATCATGACCAGAGTGGCCGGGTCAGCCGCTCAAATGTCACATTGAACAACTTTTCAAATCACACTGGGACAGAGGAAAAAAATCACAGGATCAATGTCAAGAGCTGTTTGATCGTATCGTTGATGATGGTATTTCATTTTTCAGGGGTTCAGAGCACTTCTGACCCGTATGCTAACCCCCGAATGTCCTAAAAGCCCTTTGCATATGTTTGCAGAAGCCATAGCCATGACCGAGTTTCCTGTCTACTCCGACGAATCCTCACCATCATAAATCCGCAACCGCGCCATCGAAAAATGGAGAGTCATGGGTATTGAGCTTTTTAGTCGGAAGCACCAACGGCACGAGCTGTGTCACAGCAGTTAGCAAAATCGGCCCTCGTCGAATGCGTAAGACTCCCTTCTCAGAAGCCCCGCGGTCACAGTCCAAAACATACTGTAGATCTTCATCTTGCTGTGCGTGACGATGGGCTTGATCTGGCCCTTCTCCTCCAAATCCTTCAGGCACTGGCGGGCCAGAGAACCGTTGACCTTGAGTCTGTCGACGAGGGTAGCGACGGTCACGAGGCGGTATGACTGGACATCCTTGTAGAGCTTGTCAGAAGTGCTCTTGTCGAGCAGGACGGCGTGCTGGGCCTTGTCCTTGACTGTGAGGAGATGTCAGCGCCGTCTTCATTCCGGATCCAGTTGAGTGTTCATCGTTGCTGCGAGGCAGGCGAGAAGGGACTCATGACCGTGATAGCATCACATCACATACCCTTGCCCTTGGACCACTTCTTCTTCTGCTTCTTTCCTCCGGTCGCTGCGGGGGCCATTTTGACTGATTGATTTGGTGATGATGGGGAGTGTCGTCAGTCAGTCGAGGTCAGGATTCGCAGGTTCGAAGACACACACAAAATTCTAGATGGCTAGCGGCGGGGCGGGCGCAGGCCGCACCTTCCTCAGGTTTTGTGCCCTAATCTGCCACTTTTCGAGTGGGTCCTTTTTGCGCCACACCCAATCAGATCCCAGAGCTCTAACTTTGAGGGCTGCGTTTTCGTCCTCCACCAAAATACCAAAAATTTCAGACGCCATTGGAACCGCAACTTACCTTCACTCCCCCAGCTCACCACCACACAGTCAGTCAGCCAGTGCCGCCAACAACATGTCTGACAACGGAGAGATCGAGGTCGAAACCGTCTCGGGCTACCAGGTCCTGCCCAAGGACGTCGTGTCCGAGGTTGGCAGCATCAAGCTGTTCAACAAGTGGTCCTACGAGGATGTCGAGATCCGTGATATCTCCCTGACGTAAGGACTCCCACCCGACGATGGAAGAAAAAGAACAATCGGCCTCCGCGACCCTCTGACTGCCTCACGAACGGCCTCTCCGTCAATTTATCGAGTGGTCAAAGTTATGGGAGTGCTGATGGGTCAAGGGCCGCGGGGAGAAGATTAGGAACGAAAGGCGATGAAGAATTAGTGATGCTAACATCAAAACTGCTACAGTGACTACATCCAAATCCGATCACCAGTCTACATCCCCCACTCCGCTGGCAAGTATGCCGTCAAGCGATTCCGCAAGGCCAACTGCCCGATCATCGAGCGATTGACCAACTCCCTGATGATGCACGGCCGCAACAACGGCAAGAAGCTGATGGCTGTCCGCATCGTTGCCCACTCCTTCGAGATTGTGAGCCACCTCCCGCTTAGTCCATGGAATCTACAATGAGCAACAAAATCTAACAAGCAAACTCCAGATCCACCTCATGACCGACCAGAACCCCATCCAGATTGCCGTTGACGCTATTGTCAACTGCGGACCCCGCGAAGACAGCACCCGAATTGGTTCTGCCGGTACCGTCCGACGACAGGCTGTCGATGTCTCTCCTCTCCGCCGTGTCAACCAGGCCATCGCTCTCCTCACCACCGGAGCGCGTGAGGCTTCTTTCCGCAACGTCAAGTCCATCGCCGAGTGCCTCGCTGAGGAGCTGATCAACGCTGCCAAGGGAAGCAGCAACTCGTACGCGATCAAGAAGAAGGACGAGCTGGAGCGTGTGGCCAAGAGCAACCGGTAAAGGGGTGGTGTTTCTTGTCGTCTGCGAAGAGGCATGGGGTACTGGACTCGGTTGGTTTGCGGGAAAACCTGGCATGTTTTCACTGTTGCATTTGCGCGTTCAGGACCTCGCGGATGCGGTTTTCACGGCATTGCTGTCAATTAGGGCAACCAAATAAAAATGCTCTCGGTAACGGGCAAATCATGAATACTTTGCGCTTTGGTTCTTCTACGTGTGATACATTTGACATTTGATACTTTTGTTAGTTGGAAGTGTCGTGAATCAGCACCAAGAAACCACACGGATCAGAGGCGTAAAGGTCATTAGAATTACTGAATGTCTTACTCCGAAATCTTTCCCTTGCCAGAAACCTCAACCGAATGCTGTTCATGCATGTGACAAAACTTCGCCTCGCATATCAAACACGAAAAGCCACTTTTTGGTATCTCCTAACCGCCCAAGCCAGTAAAAACACGTCATGAAAAACCTCAGCGCACCCGCTTCAGCTCCTAGATCTGAGCAGGCTGCACCGGCTTGATCTCCAGCCTCTGGAACATGCCGACATGCTTGATGCCCTCCTCCCACCACGTGCCCATGGCCTCGTCCACCTCGAAGCCGAGCTTTTGCCACGCCCCTATTACGGACTCCTGCGCGTGGCAGCACACCAGCCCGTTCCACTTGGGAATGTCCCTTGCCTCCTCGATCGCCAGCTGCTCGAATCCCAGGTGCGCCACACTCGGATCGAAGTAGCCTGGGTGTGATGCCATCCAACTCAATGCCGTGGTTACTAACAGTCGCCCGATCTTGTGGCCACGGAACTCGGGCACCACAGCCAGTCGGCCCAGCTTGACGTACGGCTCCTTGCCGTCGTGCATGTCCGTCGGCCTGTCCGGTCCGTACGGCTGCGCCGAAGACAGGCGTCGCTCCTCCGCCTCGCTGAGCGGCTGGACACCATCGCCAACGTGCTCGCCCGCCGTGTGCTCGCCGCGGGCCGCCGCGCCAGGCGAGACGTCGTCGGCGTTGAGCAGCTTGCCGTCGGCGTAGCGGCCGCCGGGGCGGGGGTGCGGCGGGTGAGGGAAGGGGACGAGGCGCACGGTGCCGATGGGCTGGGTGCGGGTGACGCTGCGCCGGGGGCGGACGACGTCGCCGGTCTGCGGGTCGCGCACCTCGGGCTCGGCGGTCTGGTTGACGGACGCGTACACGACCCAGTGGCACGAGCGCGGGTCGTCCTCGTCCAGCTCGAACTCGAGCGGCACGCCCTGCTCCTGCACGAAGACGGCCTCGCGCACCTCCATCGCGTCCAGGAAGCCCTTGGGCACGTGGCTTGGCTGCTGCGCGGGCGGCAGCGTGCGGTCGTAGCCCGTCAGGGGCGAGGGCTCGACGAGCGTCACGAATGGAGTGCCCATGGTTGCAATGGTGGGCGAATGTAGTTGGCGAATATTGATCTGGTCCCAGCCTTCTCAGTCCACAGTGACGATATACCTCTTTATTTCAAATTGGGCGATGAAGGACGGTGTGAATCGCCCGAACGCGGTGATGCCGAATATGGGAGATGAGTCAAGAAGGCGGTGAATATTAGATCCTCTAGGCACTTCTTTTGGAGGTATCGAATATCTTACAGGCTCAAAATTCGATACGAGATAGCCTTGCATTTGTTTGCTCGTCGTGATGCGGCGGCAGCATTAAGTATTTATTTTATGTAGGTGCTTAAGTAGGCATTTAGTCTTTTGGAAGAAGGGGCTCCATGACTTCCAAGGTTAGTGACAAGCCCACACACATCCTTGCCATGTCATCCGTCCAAGGCGTGCTCCATCAAACACGTTCTGTTTGACAAAGAGGTTTGCGCAAACGGGCAACCAACCTGACGATGGACTGGAGTCTGGAGAATGATTCGAATGACATGAAGCTCGGACAATGCGTCGTCGAATGAGAGGGCCGATGACAGCCACCGGGTATGACGGTGTGGCGAAGCTCTGCCGGAGGATCCCTGCCAGTCCCCTAAAATTTAGCAGGCATAGACTGGATGATCGCGCCGATTATGGGCCACCTCTGGGGCAGCACACAGCCAGTCGGAATTGATCACGGCCTGAGCAGTCAATGCAGTCACAGCAATGAAAGGGTTTGGCGACTGAGTTTTTCATATGCAGTCATAACCTCCTAGAGCTTCCATTGAATAGGAAGACTAATGCAGGTGAAGAATAACGGTAAGTGAAAGCTCATGCCGGGAAACCATTGCGCAATGCAAGATGTGTGACAGAGCATCTTTTGATCACTTATTCTGGTCCTGAACACATGCATACATCCGATTCCAATACGAGACTACATCAAGCCTCCGCTGAGCAGCAGACTTTGCCCTGTCATGTATCCCGTCTTGACCAACGTTGTTACCAGGTTTGCGACCTCCAGCGGCGTCCCTAGCCTCCCTACGGGAATGTTTTTCACATCACCCGGCGTGCCCTCGACTGTCTTCTCGTCTGGAATCATGCCGGTGTCCCCGATCATGGCCGGTGCTACGTCGTTGACGGTGATGCCGTCCTTTGCATGCTTCCTCGCCAAGTTCCTCATCATGCCCTGCAGACCAGCTTTACTAGCCGCATAGTGACATCCGTTGATACCTCCACCGTACGCTGCCAGCGAGCCGATGTAGATAATGCGGCCCCATTTCTGCTGCGTCATGTGCTCGATGCTCAGCTTGCTGAGGATGAATGCCGCCCGCAGGTTGATCGTCAGCGTGATATCCCAGTCGTCAATGCCAATGTCTGCAATGTTTGGTATCCGCTTGCCAAAGCCCGCGTTGGAGACGAGGATGTCAGGCCCGGCTTTGCCGTGCTCTTTCTTGATCTCGACAAATATGCGCTGGATGTCGTCCTGGGAGGCCATGTCCGCCTGGTGAACAGACACTTTGCACTCTGCCCATGAGGGCGTCTTCTCGAGCTCCCATACCAGTTTGTCTATAGCATCCTTGCTCTTCGAGTAAGTCAGCGCAAGAGATATCCCCTGCGCGAACAGTTCTCGAGCACAAGCTCCTCCGATACTGAGAAATGGTCAATCGTCCAGACTACTCTATGCTTAGCAAGAAGATTACTTGAACTCACCCTCCAGAGGCGCCAGTGATGAGCGCCAGTCGCCCCTTTACTTCGTTGTCGACCTGTGGCATCTTGTTCTTGAATTGCAGCTAAAATAGCGCGTATGAATCGCAGGAGATGTTGTTCTCGGAACTAAAACAAATGGGTAGGCTCGTTGGCACGACAGACGATGAATAGCTGCGTTAAGTTGTCCTACTATGGCACCCCCTCTAAATGTCAACCCCGCCTTGGCCGCTCCGCATCCGGGGCGTTTAGGCCCGAGAATTGCAATTGCAACTGCAAGAAATCGGCTCCGGCCTCCCGCAATGCCGTGCCGGTCCTCATGTCGTCCATAATCTACTGTCGCCGGAGATCAATTCGACTTCGCCCGTCGAGCTGAGAAGGATCCTGCGGTCGTCAACCAGATAGCCAATCATGCATCTTCTCATGCGTAGGAAAAGACATATTCTGAAATAAGAATCTGACGTTGGGCTCGCAAGTGTGGCCTGTAAAATCTTCAGCTCGGCAACAGCACACTGGACAGATCCCCTGCTAATGATCCCCGTCTAGGCCGTTTCCTTGGAGAAATGAGCGACGTGGCAGCCAAGATAGCAAGCGCCCAAGGTTGGCTGTAGCCTTTCATCGGCCATCCTTTAGGATTCAAAGTTGGGCCGTTTAAGATCATTAGCAGGGGGTTTACTTGGTCGCTTATGCTGACGTGAGAGCTGGGGTGGACTCCCATTCAAAGAGCGTGGAACTCCAAGCTGGTCTGCAAAATGGTATAATTTCCCTAAACGGCTCTTCGTTTCGAACTCAGCCTTAAACCATGCCCGTTGTGTAGAATGTTATGTGAGACTTTAAGACGAGGGTGTCAACTGTGTCAGATCGCGACAAGTTCTTGACTTTTAAGTGTCTTATTTCCCCAGAGTCACGATTGAAAGACCATCTCAATCTTCTTTTACTTTGCTTCGCTAGATGGACTGCCTGTGCGTCCCGTTCTCATAGTCGGGTTCTCTCAGGGTTTCGCATTTTGTGTGTTGTTCATGATGGCTTCATATACAACATGCAATTCCTCAAATTCCTTCTTACTTCTTCCCTCTCTTGTTCGCGATGAAATTTACAACCATCTGTTCCCGGAGAACCGCTCATTCTGGCTAGGCCGAGAGGCTTCAGCCCCTTACAAAAAGGACGACTTTCGGCCGATCTCATCCAACCAAGTACAGTTCCCCAACGCGTTCTGGAGAAGGAGACACCTGGAGCACCAGGCTCTATCCCACTGGCACCCACCGGAGACAGGGTATCCACCTGCAGACGCACCAGCGAATAGCACCACCTCCAACAGCCGGAACAGCGAGGATGCATACACCTTTCTCTCCCTGCGGCTCGTCTGCAAGCAGATGTGCATGGAGGCGAGCGACTACATGTTCCGACACGGCTCGCTGTGGTGGACGGTGTGGAACTCGGAGGTCTCTCTGATCCGTGACATCATCCGCCTTGACGAAGCCGAGGCCAAGAGGAACGCGCCCCTTGTCGGGGGCAAGGGTAAGCGGCTGGACGAGGACGGAGGAGCCGAGGACAAGAACGCGGTCTCGCTAATGTCGCCGCGCCTACTAGTTGCGTCCGATGACCCCACGGCTTGCATGCTGGGCCGTTACCTGGGGTCCGAGAAGATTCCGGAAGAAGAGTGGCTCGCCTTCGTGCAGCGCAGGAGAGAGGAGGGCCTGCTGCGGTGGATCGGACAGTTCAAGCAGATCAACATCATCCTGCAGGAGGATAACATATTAGATGTGCTAGAGGCACTGCAGTCCATCCTGTCACATTCGTATGCTCATAGCGGCCGGCGACCGAAGGTTCACCTGACGATATGCGGCTTCAAGCTCTATTTTGACCAGGACGAGAACTACTGGGGAGCATATCTCCCAGGCGGGAAAAATGTCGCCGAGTGCATTCTAGGTCGCAACTGGGAAGCCACATCGAAGCTGAAGGAGCCAATCAACAAAGAGAGGCCACTGAGTCTCAAGAAGATCAACCAAACGATAGAGCCGGACTTCTGGTCTATGGGCGACAGCCATTACTGGCTAGATGCCTTCAAATTCTGCAACATCCCGTTCGCGGCAGACGCGACTTATGGGGGCGAGGCGGTCGACCTGACTGGGAAACTGATATTCTATGTGTTGAAGGACAGCAAGATGTGGTACACCGAGGTATTTTAGCTGCTTCCTTGTATGGCTCGATTCCTTGAGTGCTTATTCTGGCATTCAGGATTTATTACCGTTGCATACGCTAATTCGGTGAAGTACTTGGCCGACTTTTGTACTGTGTGGTCTGGATGACGATCGGTAATTTGTTTGCCTTAGACTTCGTGGAGGGCTGAAGCGTAACGGTCCATGGATCGGATTTGCACAACGGCGTTTTCAGGATGTGATGATTTGCTAAGATGTTCTATTACTGGAACGGCGACTTCTCAGGATATAGAAAGAGAGCAATAAACAAGCATGATGAAGCCAACGTTCGGCTGACTTGCGCAAAGTACTTCACCTCTCCTCAGTGATCACTGGTCAGACCAAACGAGAGAACTGCGGGCTTCCACCTTTGATATTATGTGAGATAATAGTGTAGGGCTACCAGACTCGTGTCTTGACTGGAGGTTGCGTTCTATGAGAGGGTCTAGGAAATTGAACGTGGTATATTTAATAGAGACTAGGATACCAATCTACATTACACAACAATGGATTAATGTTAAATATCCTATCATCAACTAAATGACATACCATTAAAAGATTATACTTCTTATTCAAGCTTAAAGTACTAGAATACATAATTCAAAACTTTTATTACACATCTCTTGAAGTATTTAGTCTCCTAACATCCTTAACATCGGCCAGATTGATATAGATATATAGTTATTCGTTCTCTACATTCGTCGGAGTCAAGCACACTCTATGCCGTCTTCTTCTCCGTCAATAGAGCTCTCATCTGCCGAGGGGATGCGAGACTGTTCGACTACGATACCATCGCCGAATTCTTTAGCGAAGTGCTCGGCCATGCGGCTATCCTTGATAGCAAAAACGACTTCGAGACCGTCCCATCCCTCATCTATTAACCCCTTTCTCTTGACCACCGGATCTCTTCTAGATCTTGCGCCAAGGAGAACTCGTCTCCATGCTCTAGCAATCTCTCTGACAGGATTTCCATATGCGCCACAGCCCCAAGCACCAAGCACGACCTTGTCAACTCCTTTGGAGCGCACTATTCGCAGGACGGCCCGCATCTTGCTTATGACTAGGTCCCTGTCTTTCTGCTCCGCGTAGCCAGCCTCTCCACCTTCTCCCTCAATGTCTGGAAACCTGAGCATAGCCGCTGTGATTACGTCCACATAGAAGCGGTCCTTCTTATCGAGCTCCGAAGCAGCAGAGTCCCAGCTCCGGAAGACCAGCACGTCAGGCGTATACACCCCGCCAACTTCAGGAAGACGATAGAACTCCTCCCGAAGCGAGGGGTACAACGTCGTTCTCGTGCACAGCCACTCCTCCTGCGATGAGGCGCCAGATAGCACGCCTCCGCCGGGCCGGAGGGGCGACGCCATGTTGAGTATTGCGACTCGAGCACGGTGGCTGGCGGCGCCCACAGCAGATATGCTTAGTTCATGCGCTGCCTGTAATGTGTCTGTGACCCGCAGCGATATATCCACTGATCTCATCGTTGAGGGCCGTTCGCTGCTTTCTGGTGCATTGGCATTGTGGTTCTCCCGAGACGCAGCTGTGTGCTGTGGTTGTATACTTGATGTCAACGGTGGCGGATCTACGATGAGCTCAGCGGCTTCCACACCGCGCCTGGCCCTTGCGTTACCATTCAAGATGGCGGGAATGGTCTTATTGATAATGACCTTTGCTCTCTTGGCCCGGTCGTCACGCGGAGGATGAGTTGGCTGGAACGAAGGCTGTTCCCTACCCATACTGTAGAATATTGTATGCAAGAGAGTATGCCAGCCTGCGCAATAGACTTGCTAATGTGGTAATGCAGGATGGAGCTAAATAGTGGACGTGGCTTATCCCTCAAGGTACTCAAGCCAATCGGTGACTGGATGGCTTTCACACACTAGTCAACCCTGATAAGCTGACCAAGGCACTTCCTTCACTTGACCATGTTGCTTCAAAATGTTCCTACCAGCTCTCAATAAGATGAAGTTGCGTAAGGTGGGAGGCCGAAATTTGGAAATCCTGTCAGGTCAGGTATTCCTATCTCATAATCATTATAGCATTGACTATATGAGAGACACGACTTACTAGCATAGCTTACAATTTAAGGAGAAAGAATTCAATGCTAGATATCATGGATGTCGACACTTTCGCCTAGGAATGCAACATCTACTGTCATTCATTCAAGTCATGGGTATTGTTATTACGGAATTCATTCTCTTTGCATCAAGCTGACTGATATCTCAACAAACAACCAAATCCTGAACACCGGACAAAGAAATGAGCAAATTTACACATATTCCGCCGTGACGGAGTTATATCTCTGGTTGTTGTAGATCAATGTGTACTGCGTGCTGGCACTCAGGTAGACAGCCTCGATCTTGCAGTTCAGATCATAATACCACTGGCCGTCGTTGCCCCTACGCCGCTGTAGCGAGTTCTCCGGAATATGGCTGACATCTGCCTCAACATGGCATACGAGATTTGTGTGGTCGTCGCGAGCGACCGGGGCATCACGCATCGCACGGTCCGCGTAGATGTCCATCTTGATCTTGCGGATGCGGCCCTGACTCACAGGACCAGTCCAGACAAAGGATGTGAAGAAAGGCTCATTCTCAGAGACGGTGTCGCCTCGCTTGATGAACCACTCCATCGTGTACACCTTCCAGCACCCATCCAGTCCACACCAATGCCGTTTATCGATGAGATGGCCATGTATCTTCGCGTCGTACCTGCGAGATATTAGTTTGTGAGAACTACAGAGGTCAAGAGGGATTTCTACCTTGTGCGCCATTCTGTGCCATAATGTTTTCGTGCTTTACGATTCTGCAGCTTGACAACGGTAAGCTTCTCGGGGGCACACTGAGCGAGGCCCTTCATCACGGCACCCTGAACAACTGCAAGCCACGCGTTCGGAGGTTGCATGATCTGAATCTTGCGGTCGATTGAATTGCGAAGACGCTCTTTGAGGTAGTTTGAGGCACCAAAGCCACCCACGAGGAGAATTGCGCGGATCGGCACGTTGCTAGATGTGATCTGGTCCTGGACCAGCTTGATGACTTTCTGGATGACAGGCTCGAATATGACCTGAAGATCCGACGCCTTCAGGGCAAATCTACCTCGACTAATGCCGAGTTCCTTGTTATTCGCGAGACCAGGAACCGGGATCGAGTATGTCTCGTCAGGTGGAGCGTTCAATGTGAATTGGCGCTTGATTGTCTTTTCGAATTTCTCCATGGCTTCAGCCATGACCTCATCATCAAATCCGTCCTCCTTGCCGATCTTCTGCTTCAGAAACTTCGCAAATCGCATGTTGAGGAACGTCGAACCACATAGCTCACCGGTGCCGGGAGTTGCCTCCTGGACTTCTAGAATAGGTCTAAGGCTGGTGATAGTATACGAGATCAAGTCAACTGTTCCGCCACCAGCGTCGCAGATGACAAAGCTATCACCAACGCTGAGACCATGGGGATCTAGGCCATGGAGAGCATATATGGCAGCAGCCTCGGGCTCTGAAATTAGGTGGATCGGAACGTGGGCATGGCTAATACCCGACGCTCGGTGACACGCCTGTTTCGTCTTGTCTTTGGCAAGATCGCTCCAAATCGCCGGCACGGTAACGACAAACTCCAGCGGCGTGCTTCTCACGACGCCCTCGCCGAGCTTCTCCTTGAGTGTGTAGAGCAGATGTTCTCCCAGGGCCGAGAGATAGTCAGTGACAAGCTTATCCACATCTCTGCCGCCTCGGGCGGCCTCTCTGGTTACTGCGTCGCCGGCACTGGCGAGACTGGGGTCGAGGTCGCTAAATGACATTAGGGTTCACTTGCTTGTGACACTTTCTAAGAAGGCGGGAGCTTACAGCTTGAACCACTCGTTAATCTCGTTCTCCGGAGCCGTCATCGGGATGGAGAACCCCCATTGTGTCTCGCCGTTGGAGTACCTGAGCTTGGTTGGGACCTTCTCGGAGGTCTCACCCTCTCGGATGGTCTTACTGACTGGCCATGAGGTGATAGCGACCCGTCGATCAGGTCTTTGTGTCTCAGCCCACTTCATCCTTGAAGTTAGTGTCTGTCGCAAATAAAGGAGATCAGCTAGCATTGCTTGGATGTTTCCATACCGCTACACCAGAGTAAGTCGTGCCAAAGTCAATGCCGACGATGATCTTCCGCTCGCTGATAGCGAGCTTCTCAAATTCCATGATTATTGTTGGTGCTGTGTAGTATCATGACCAGAGGGCCTTGTTGAGGTGCTCTTGAGCAAGGAAAAGGGGCCTCAGGTTGAGATGGCGATCAAATGATAGATATCCTTCCCCTTACCCAAAAGACCGAGTATGATGTCTGGGGATGGAGTAACGTGTCTGTGTACAGCTGCGTTAATGAGATAATGTCCAGAGTGAGAGCCTCTCAGGCGCTCTTAAAGGCAGGTAGATGGCAGATCGGAGGGATGGACGATAGGAGATGTCTGCAGCTACAGACCCTAATGCGGGATAAGGGATCTTATGCAAGTGTGTGGCAAGTACATTCCAGGTAGGTGGACTGAGCGGTAGGTGAATTGATCACAGCCTCATCAAGGTGAAGGTGAACTGTATAGAAGCTCTAGAGGATGCAAGGAGGTGGAAGGAGGTACCGGGTACTTGGAGGAGGCGTAGGAAGTCACGAGAACGCGTTCAGGGGACAAGGTCGGGGTGTCGGTGTCGAGAATGGAAGGTATGATGGAGGAGCGATTTCCAAGGCAAGTGCGAACCTTGGGTAGAGAAAGTGAGTGGGCTTAGATCTGAGAGGCAGGTGCCCATTCGAGGTTGTGGTGGTCATGAATAAAGAGTCAAAGAGTCAAAGAACTGAGTGGGTGGCTTGACATCCCAACTAGTTCGTTCCTTCTCCATAAATCGACCTAGGTGGGTGACCTACAGCTCAAGCTACCTCTTCCTGGGGAACCTCGTAATGCAAGAGTACTCAGGCAGGTTGCTCCTTCCTGTACTAAGACTAAGATTTCATGGTTTGCCCAGGATATCCCATATTGCCGAGGTCTGCCCAAGCCAGGCTTAGGGGGAGGGCATACTCAAGGGGCGCCGTGACAGCAGATCAATCGATGGGTCTAGATGTGATCTGAACATCGCAAATCGACTCCGACAGGTAAGTCGGGCTTGTCCATTTGCCCGCCTCATGTTGAGTCAGGCATCTTATTGCTCTGCTCCACAGAACAGTCATGCATTCATGGCGCCATGGAGGTCTAATCGGCTGCAACTTGCCGCGGGCCACTCCGCCAATGCCAACACCAAACGGTGACCATGACCCTACCAGGCACCTTACTGAACCTTGGAATCTGCCTGGTTGATCTTGGCCAGTGATTGAGCCGCAGATGCGGTGTTTGCTCCCTGTAAAGATGCTGCTAGTGCCATGATCAGCGTAGCTCTAGTGTTAGTGGGAGTTGCGCTAAAAAGGGTTTCCGTGGGGTAATGTTGCGAGTGGTTGCTTATGTCGTGTCAACATATGTTAGGTGTCTGAGGCTTGCAATGTCGGACACAGGATCCTATTATTTACTGTCAAACTATCTGCGGCACACTCATCAATCATATGGTGAAACATGAGAGGAATATTATCGGCAATCTGAATCGAGACCCGCCCATTGCGTCACTAATGAAGTACATGAGGACGTGAGTATCTGAGTACTCAAGAAGGCCTCTGAATGAGGTGGGGTTCGACGATCAGCAATTGACTAACTCCAGCTTAATGCCTTTAAAGATGGCCCAGGCGAGGCTTAGCAGTGCTAACAGTGCCCGGGGCTCTACCAGCCACTATTAGCCTGTCCCATGGGCATTCCAGCTTCATCGCCAAGAGAGCTGCTAAAGACTAAACCCTCTGGCGTTTTCACAAGGCTCTTGCCTATGTGGGACAGCATGACGTTCATGCAGCTGTCCGTTTCCGACGATAGAATTCATTATGATGTAGACGAACCGCGGCTCCAAGCTGGTCTAAGCCCCGGGGGAAAAGGTGGAACGGGAGATACCTTGGCTTGTAGGTTCTTCTTTGTTGGATAGTTCAGCATCTGCCCATGGGTCTAGGAAGGTGCGACCCGTGTAGGTCGTAGTAGGTCGTAGTGGGCTGTGTGGGCTTTGTTGCTGCTGATGCTGCTTCTGCTGAAACACTACCCACTCCAAGCTTCCACCTCAGGGAAGGAACGACCAACACCTGCATGCTAGGAGAGTTGTGATTGAGGTAGACTCCCACAGAAGTGTAATTATCAGAGCATGGAAGCTTCCAAGATTGGCAACACCATCAGTTCACTTCTTGCCTTGTCTCGTTTCTTTCTCCCATTTGGCCTCCATGTTGGGTCATCAAGCTCCAAGCAGGTCTTTCCTTTTCTAACTCAAGGATCAAAGGCAGATCCACCCGACTTGAGCGCACCTATCTAGCAGCCTCCTAATCCGGCAGACTTGACTCCTCGGTTTATGGAGGATCTTCGAAAAGCTTTTGAGCAAGACAGCGCAGCTTCTGTCAAAATGACCCAAGTTAGAGAAGTAGCCGAGGACGACGACATGACGGCCCCTCCACGACCGGAGAAGGTGCCTACCCAGCCGAGTCGGCGAAACACACACGACAATTTGATGGACACGACAAACAGGCTACAAAAACACCACTCAGAGAACAATAATCCGTTCAAGAAGGCAGCCACATCGCAAGATGACATGGATGTGCTGCGCCGTCCCAGTGACAAGGTCAGCGAGGGGACCGAGCTCCGTTTATATCGCCAGATCGAGGAGCTACGTGAGCAGTTACGTGCCGAGCAGCAAAAGACAAAGGCAGCAGAACATCAACGCACGGGCGACGAGGAGAGCATGAAGTCCGGGTTTGAGGAGCTTGTGAACAACAACGAGCTGCTGGTCAAGACTGTTGACAAGTTGGAGAAAGAGTCAAAACGACTCAAGGAAGAGCTTGAGGATGCCCGGACACATATCTTTGCCCTCCAGCCATATCGCAAGGATCTGACCCCAGAGGAGGTCGGGCGTGACTATGACGATCTCGTCAACAGCGTTTCCGATTGGGTCGACAAGCTCATGTCGCCTGCCCTTGACGACGAAGACGCTCCAGCCGAGCTTACACGGATTGCGCGAAAGAGCCCCGGCGAGATCTCATGGCTTAAGAGAAACATGCAGAAGCACGGCGATTTGGTGCAAGGTTCTATGTTTGCGGAGACGGATATTGACATTGGCATTGCCATCATCATGAGATATCTCTACGACAACATCTTCCAGAAGATCCTGTACGATACAGTTTCGAGCCAGGTGAATGTGCTTACATTTGTCGAGGGATCGATGCAGACGAACGTCGAGCCGAAACGAGACCTTTTCGCCATCCGCACCTGGTCCGCCGAGGCTTACAATGCCATCCTCTGCTCGCCACAGTTCAGACAAGAACGGGAGAGGCGTATGAGGAACCTCACCTTGGAGCTTGCAGGAGGCTTTCGGGTCTTCCATAGGGATGATGACTGGAACAGCTTCTGCGTCAACTTTCAGGATAGCTGCATTAAGCCAGCCATGAAGCTGTATGAGAAGTTGTTGGTCTCCACACACCATTTCTATCTCGATATCAACCCATACATTATATTGAGCAACGGGCAATTGGAGCAGTCCATCCAGTTCCTCGACGAATTGCCCAATCTCGCTTGCGAGAACATCCTGCAGGCCCGCAAGAAGTTCAACCTGGCGAAGCTGGATCCAAAGCCGACGAAGAAGGATCTGTATGAGAATCTTACCAATGTGGTCACAACCGTCCCGGCTCTGTATATGAGGCAGGTCGGCAGAGGAGACACCATCAGGGAACCGACCATTGTTCGCAAACAGCAGATGCTGGTGGCATGGGGCCCGCCGGAGAAGAAGGAGAAGTTCATGCACAACGACGAGGGCTTGATGAACATCATCTTGTTCACAAGGACCAAGGACAGGGAGAAGGAGAGGGGCGTAGAAGCATCAGTTTGGCAAGCCCCGTGGAAGTTAGGATAGCGTTCTGGCCTCCACCGCCCACGCTCGTGACGATTTACGCCATCAAGGATTGGAATTTGTGGGAGAATAGGCGGCGTTAGGTTGGCTTCGCTGGTACGGGGAGGAGGTTTGTCTATGCCATGTTTTGGCTCGCGTGCCTGCTACAAAACACAAATCGCAAGCTTGGCCCTAATTGAGCACAACGGCTGCCATTTCACTTAGATACTGCAATGATGATACCACACGAAGCTGGCCTTTTTTTCGATGAATGAAGCCCAGGTTTTGATTTACAGTGCCACGGATTGAGGTTGATTTTGCCACGTTCAAGAAAAGGCAATGTGCGCCAGTTGATCAGATCAGAAGCAAAAGCAATTTCCCGCCTTCTTCTGGAAGGCTTCTAGTGTTTCCCGCAACCCGGTCAGCGGCGAAGGCAATGGCGTTCGAGAAGGATTCTCAGCCACAGCCCTCGTCGCGTGATCAAGATTAGACCTTGAAATCTACCCAAGGTAGAAGAACGTGCTCCGATGGCAGATCCACCTCCGTTCGGTCAGGCCAGCAGCTACGTCAAGCTTGGCGTCTCGGTGGAGCGCACAGGATCGGCTTGATCGATTGCTTGCTTGCTTGGTGAAGCGCGATTGCACTCTTGTCGCGAGTCTGTCCAGGTCCGCAGCTTACCTTTGGTCAGGTACTTGGCAGCGCAGTTGGTGCGCAGTTGTTCACTGAGCTGGCACGCTCTATCTAACTTAGCTACCTAGGCCTGTGACTAAGTAGAAAGAAAAGAGTCAGGCATTCTACAGCATCTTAAGCGAGTGAATGATGGCGCGCGCTAGACGGCGGGAGGCTGAGCGCCAGAGAGGGGAGAGAGTGAGGCTCTCTGAATGTACCGTGTACCGGTACTCGCTTGGGCTACCGTTGGGCATGGCTTCAAGGCAGGGTGACCGGTCTGTTTTGTTTGACCGCGGCGGAGAGGTGGATTCGGCGGGGGCACCTGCACACACCTGCACCTAGCGTTATCTCGGGCTACCTGAGCTGAGGTACATACATGCAGGTGGAGGTCCACTCGAACGGGCCTGTAGGATGCCTGGAAGCCTGCTGTAATGACGAGCATTCTGCCTGCGCGCGCCGTCTGTTTGTCCCCCCTCCCACCCACCAATGCCAACACTCATCGTTCAAGTCCAATGACTCTACTCTATCCAATCCTGGGGAACCAAGGACCTGCACGATCACTCTACCTACAGTAGGCAGCTAAGGCTATCCGGCTGCTTGCCTGTGGTAAAGTGCGGATAAGGTGAGAGTGAGAGGGAGAGGGCGAGTTGCCTCACCAGCCAGACTTTCTTCCAGTCTCCCTCGGCTTTCTACTCCGCCACAGCTCAAGGTGAAATCCAAATCCAACCCAACAGGTCTACCAGGTCTAGCCTGTCCACCGTGGTCCATTCCAGGAAGCGTTAGTTGACTCTCAGTCTTGCCTTGCACCGCACCGCGCTCTCAAGAAAGTCTCATCTGTCCTCGCTCGGTCGATCCCATCCATCGCCTTGGCAAGGTGATGCCCAGGCTCAGGCTCAGGCCCGTATGACCTTGATACGACTTCCGCGCAACTCCAAGTCGGATGGGCCCCGAGAGGCTGAAAGTCTTAGGCTAGCCAGGACTACACTGAGGTCACCGAACAGTAAGTCTGCCGTTTCCTTCTGTTTCGCTTCCCTCTTACTCTCCTGCTCTGCGTGGCTCTTTCATTCAATCATCCCGAAGAGACATGCCATTTTCACCGGATATTCTCTATATGCCTATTCATGCCCACAGAGAAAAGGCTTTCGTCGGACTGCTGCCGCCGGCTTCCGCGAGGCTCAGTTGAGGTATCATGGTGCTGCGACAACTGAAGCAGCTCTTTGGCAAGCAGAAAGACAACAAAGAACAAAGGCACACTCCTTCCTACCTTTCAACACCATCAATCACAACAAAGCCACCTGTAACTCTTGCCCCAAAGGCTCCAAGGGACGACGTGCGATCTCATTCGGGGCCTCGTCGCTACACCAATCACGTAGATCCAGAAGAGACTGCACCGCTCGAGGATCTCATCACCGCCAACCTCAGGCTTGCCGATAGACTTACAGACCAAAGGACTAATGACATTCCTCCAGACTCTCGGCTAGGCTCCTACATTCATTCGAGCTCTTGTAATGACCAGAACTCGGATCGTTTGATCCAACACAGTAACAACAACACTGCTCCGCACCCGAGCAGTGCCGATATCAGAACACAGCACGTGGATAGCCTGGTCGAAGACAACCTCTTTGCCTCGCCAACCTCGACATCTCAGACCACAGCAAGACATGAGCTGTCGACCTCGGCGGCCATGGCTTCATCATCAGTAATTCGGCCGCCGGGCTACCGGCCTGCCAGCCCGTCCTTGCTGGAAGGCTTCGATGACCTCGACACTTTGCCAACCAGGTCGACGCAGAATTTACGGCAAACAGCAGCGCCTCCAGCCATGGCCACTATGACAACACAGAATGTCCCGCGATTTCGGTACCAGCTTGATCCGTCTCTTCTTGGTGATTTCGGCGATGAGAACAGTGCCGCCAGTTCTCGATCGGCACCACAAACTTCACCAGCCACGCAGAATCAGTCTGTACATCTGACATCTACAAGACCGGCACAACAGCGCGGCTATGGCCCTATATCTGCTTCAATCCTTGGAGGCTTTGAAGATGAACAGGGCTTCACAGTAAACAGTACCAGCAGATCAAGCACAAGCAGGTCAAGCCAACCGCGCCAGCAACAGCAGCAGTCACCGGCAAGGAATGCAAACAATCCATATGTGAAGATTATTGAAGCCCGCCAGAACGCCATGACTATGGCGTATCTGCGCAATAAGAAGACCGACAGCGGCGTTGATCTACCTGCATTCCCAACTGATGATATTGGGTAGGTTCTCCCCTACTAAATCAGTTCTTCTCTCTTCTCAATCTTGTCTTGCACTTTGTCACTACCACACCCTTTATCACACAAGCATTCAGTCTCTCTTTCTCTCTCTCTCCAGAAAGCTTACACAGTCTCAGATTCGGTCAACGATACCAGAGGTCAGGGGATACGACCCAGGTTAGCAACCAGCGCATCCCCATCGACGTTCTCAGCGGCGAACGAGAGTGCATCGTCTGCACCGAAACTAAACCCGTGGCTTGGTTCCCTGCCCTCTCGGTGTCCAAGTACTGCACACACGCGCCGACGACATGCTTGGTCTGCATAGGCGCATCCATTCGATCGGATCTTGACAACAGGCTCTGGAACGAGATTCGATGCCCGGAGTGTCGAGGGACCATGGAGTACGAGGACGTGCAGCGCTATGCAGACGATGATACTAAGACCAGGTACGCTTTGGAGCCAACCGGGAACTGATCAGTCTCCTCAACAGTTTCCCGTATCTAACACCTTGACAGATATCAAGATCTCACCTTCCGCCACGCCATGTCCGAATCGCCCCATTTCATCTGGTGCACCGCAGGCTGCGGATCAGGTCAGATCCATGACAGCGGCAGTCAGCAGCCCATCGTAGCATGCGTCAAATGCGGAGCACGCTCGTGTTTCCACCACTCAGTACCATGGCATGAGAATCTCTCGTGCGACGAGTACGACGCCCTCCTGGCGGACCCGGAGAAATTCCGCAGCCGCTTTGAGATCGACAACGACGAAGTCGCTACTGCCGACGAGGCGCGTCGAGCTCAGGAGGACGCAGACCGAGCCTACGCCCAGAGCCTTCTGGCCGAGGAGCAGCGAGCTGTTGACGAGGAGCGGAGGGAACGTCTGCGGCGGGAAGAAGAGGCACGCACGGCGAGGCAGCGTGCGGAGCGCGAGGAGCAGCAGCGGACGCTTGCCGAGCAGAGGAAGATTGCTGCCAGGCGGATGTATCAGGAGGATGAGAGCCAGAAGACGATTGCTCGCACGACGAAACCTTGTCCCGGATGCGGTTGGGCGATTGAGAAGAATGCAGGATGGTAAGTCATCAACATGAACCGACTGGATGGGACCTTGCTAATTTGATGTTTCGCAGCTCACACATGACATGTAAGAACACCCCTTTCCTTTCTTTCGTCTCTTCACTACCTCATCACCCCCAATGGAATACGGATGGTCAAGTGATCAATCCCAATTGTTGAAAAGCATCAACAACAACGAAAGAAACAAACAGGACGCTAAACTCGGGCGTCAGGTCTCAAATGCCGATATGAGTTCTGCTGGAGCTGCAACGTGAAGTGGGCACGCGGCCACAACAACTACTGCAGCCGTGGGGTTTGATCCTCCATCAATCAAACCCCCAACACCCTCGCCACTCACGCGTCTCGGAGCCGTCACCGTTTCTTTTGACCCTATGCCTACCTGCCTGCGAGGGACTTGCTTGCTGAGACTTGTGTCTTTTGTTTTTCTTCTAGGCATAAAGTGCGGTCATCAGTTCTGCTACGACTGCCTGGCGGACCACCGAGAGGTGCTGGAGAAGGACAACAGCGCGCACCAGCCGACGTGTCCGTGGCATCCGGACAATCTGAAGGAGTGAATGACGGGGCTGTTGGTGATGGGGATCTCAATTATGTACCACGGTTGTTGTTCTTGGATGATGTACATCGGAGTTGGGACTTGATTTGTATTTTGGGAGCGATTGTCTTTAGGAGCATGGTAGATACCTCTAGATGTCTTTGAAAATGAGAAATGACAAGACTGAATATATGCTTTGTATAGCTGAAGCTGGGATCAGATAATCAGTTTCCCATCAGCACCACTATTCAGATGATTTCAATCCAAGCCATTTATCGTAGTCTATGTGCGATGCCGTGGCGCGCCTGGTTGCAGAAGAAAGTGGGTGGGGCTTGAGTTGTCAACCTTGGTTGTTTCTCCCAACGGCCGCACGGAGAGGCCAGGCATGAAAAGATCTCAAAAACAGCTCGCTCGTCAGCTACTGTTTCACCTCACAAACATACGTCTACATCTAAGGGCCGTCTGTATTTTTTGCGCCCCCAATATAAGTGTGGAAAAACCGGCCATGGACACCAGCAAGAACAGCCTTCGAGTTCTTTTGATTGGCGCTGGAGGCCGAGAGCATGCTCTGGTGTGGAAACTGTCCCAGGCGCCGTTCGGTCGAGCACGTCTTCGTCTTTTCCCGGAAATGGAGCCACGTCACATGGAGATGGGATTCCAAACATTGCCATCGATGGTGCGGCTCGTCAGGACGACTATCCGGCCATCGTCAAGCTCCGCTCGACAGCTTACAATCGGTTTGGTGGTTGTCGGGGCCTGACCAAGCCGTCGTAGACGGCCATCGAAGGATATTTTCGGGATTGTGAGACCACAGATCTGCAACGAGTTGTTGGAAGGACACTGACGGTCTGGTAGGCGGAATTCCGTGCTTCTCTCCCTCTAAAGAAGCTGCAGAGGTCGAAGCTCCAAGACGTTTGCGAAAGACGTCATGCAAAAGTACAGCATCCTGACGGCCGCCTATCGAAACTTTGATTTAAGTCTACCCGAGCAGCTGGAATCAGCAAAGCAGTATATTCAGGCCGCCACGCATTAAGTCGTCATCAAAGCCAGCAGGCTGGCCGCAGGTAAAGGCGTCGTCCTCCCGGACACCAAGGAGAACGCATGTCAAGAGTTGGAGGCCTTTGTCCAAGGGAGATTTGAAGAAGCTGGATTGTCTGTTGTTATCGAGGAGTTCATGGAGGGCGACGAGATCAGTGTCCTAACATTCAGCGATGGTAAAACATTCAAATCACTGGCCCCCGGGTCAAGATCATAAACGAATATTTGATGGCAACAAGGGACCTAACACTGGAGGAATGGGCTTTTATGCTCCGACGACTTTCGTCGGCCCCGAATTGATGTCCGAGATTGAGGAAAAGATTCTGAAGGCTACATTTGATGGCTTACATGCTGAAGGTTTGCTTCCCTTGTTTGTTTTGTTTGCCTGTTATATTCTCCTCTCAGTTCCCATAGTCTGTGGAGATCTATGGCAAGGCCTCTGTTACTTTCCAACAGCTAATATACTTCAGGCCGTACATTCTGAGGCCTGCTTTTCACTGGCATTATGTTAACTCGATCTGCGCCGAAAGTGCTGGAGTATAATGCACGATTCGGTGACCCAGAAACACAGAGCATAATGCTATTACTCTCGCAGGATACGGATTTGGCGGTAGTGCTCTTATCATGCACCCAGGAATCTCTGGACAAGGTTCAAATGTCATTTCGTTCTGGTTACGCTTGCAATGTGGTAGTGACCGCTTCAGGCTATCCTGGGTCGTATATCACGGGTCAAGTCATTAAAATTGGCTCATTGTCTTCTCCAGACATTCATATATTCCATGCTGGTACGATTATGAGTGGTAGCGTTTTGAAAACTATGGGAGGGCGGGTCTTCTCTGTTGCTGCGTACGACGACTCTCTTGAGACAGCTGTCAAGCTCGCATATCAAGGGGTAGAGAGCATAAACTTTGATGGGATGTTCTTTCGTAAGGACATTGCTCGTCGGTAAGGAGAGTCATGTTTACTTGATTGTGATCAATTACTAATGCTTGGATAGGTGTTTACCAAAGTCATAACTCTTACAGCAACTTGAAACCGCCCGGAACAGCCTTCTGGAACAGTTCTCCAGGATCATTTCTCTTGCTAACTTCCTACAACAACTGCTTATTCTCTCCCGGAGTGTACCGTTGAACTGTAACTCTTTCTCATGAATAATTATCCTTCAGGCGGGATCCTCTACATACCTCCATAAGAAAAAGGAACAAATAGTCTCATGAGGAACACACTGAGGATACACCGGAACCAGTTAGCCAATATGTGGGGCATTGGCCTGCGCCCGACAAGCGAAAACCGCTTCGGTTAACGAGGGGGTATTAACGCTCTTCCTGCTCGGCAGGTCTGCCATCCGCCTTCGACAACTTCCTTCCCTAGCAATCGAACCATGAGCGCAGCGAATGGAGTTTGCACTGTTATTCTAACGAATTGCGCACACGGGGCATTTTGAAGTTGCCCCGTTTGACGACGTTGAATCGTCTTCCGAGATAGCCTTTGTCTCAAAATTGCCCTCCCTCTTCGCCGAAATGACATCTCCTTCCGCTTTGGATGGGTTTGAGCGTCAATTGCCTGAAACTAAGGGCATCGAGTCTAGCGCAATACTTGATTTCCTGAAGGAAGCCGAAGATGGTGGAATCTCGTTCAATAGTTTCATGTTGTACCGTCATGGCGCCGTTGTCGCCGAACATTGGTGGTCTCCCTATCGACCAAACTTACGGCACATGATGCACTCAGCTACGAAAAGCTTCCTATCTGCCGCAGTCGGCTTTGCAGTCTCCGAGGGGTTTTTTTCTCTAAACGACAAAGTCATATCATTCTTTCCTGACCATGCGCCAGTAGATCCGGAGCCAAAGTTGGCTTCAATGACTGTGGAGGATCTTCTAACTCAAACCAGCGGACACGCCACTGGGGCATCAGGAGGGACTTGGCGCAGTATAAAAAGCAGTTGGATCGAACAGTTTTTTAAGATTCCAGTTGCTTACGAGCCAAGCACATACTTCAAGTACACCAGCGCTACAAGCTTTATGCTATCGGCTATTATACACCAGACCACCGGTCAAAGCACACACTCTTTTCTGATGCCCAGGCTCTTTCAGCCATTGGGAATCACGGACATTCAATGGGATGTTGGGCCGGAAGGTATCAACCCAGGAGGCAACGGTATCAGCTGTCGAACTAGTGATCTACTCAAACTAGCGGTCCTACACCTAAACAACGGTATATGGGAAGGGCGTCGGCTTCTTCCCGAAGCATGGGTTAGAAATGCTACAACTTCGAAGCGAGGCAATCCATACGGGTATCACTGGTGGATGGGTCCCGATAAGGCATATTATGCCTACGGTCTATTTGGGCAATTTGCATTTGTCTTCCCCAAACATGATGCCATTCTTGTCACAACGAGCTCCGTACCGCCAGGGGAGCAAGCGCTTAGGGCTCTCGTTTGGCGTCATTTCCCAGCCATGTTTAGCTCTGAGAATCCGTCGATAGACTCTACTACTGGTAGGAATTTGTCAACATTCTTAAGCGGAAGTCTATATACGCAAGGCCTGTTACCCGGTGACCCCTGTCTTGGAGCTACGGATATCTCGGACAAATTATTTGTCGCTAAAGAAAATCACGACCAACTTGACGCATTTTCATTTGACTTTTCTAACAGTAAATGTACATTTTATGCCTGGGATCACCGAGGACTACACCGCGTAGAAGTAGGTCTAGATCGATGGTTAGAGGGTGAAACTACAATGTCCGGCGGACCTTTACATCACGGCTACGAACCGCCAGTTTTGAGGGTCGTAGCGAGAGGTGCTTGGTTATTACCAACGACATTTGTAATGGTCTGGAATTTTGTTGAGACGGCGTTTCAAGACTGTGTGACTGTGCGGATGACGAACGAGAACGAGGCGGTCTTCGAGCGAGGCGTTAATGTCAACTCATTCGGGACACAGCGAGCGCCTATCACCTCGCATGTTATGGGAAAGGGGAGTGGCGCATTTGCAGGACTTCGCATAGCAGATCGAGTGTTAGAAGTCTCTGATAAGGTCGCTGCGCTCCCCGACCCACGACGTACGATACCTTTCTCCTGTGGTTCCGCGTCTTTCGGCGAATTGCTTGACAACGTAGACGCAAAAGCAATATTGGAGAAAATAGTGCCTGGCTTGAGTTCACATCCAGATTTCGCCAGGGCAAGACCATATAATCTCTACACACTGGCAGATAATGTGCCTCAGCTCACCTCTGATGTACTTCAGTACTTGGATACACAACTCTATAAGATAGTGCTTTCTTAAACTTTGTGGGTAATCTTTGGCGGCAGTAGTCAAGTGTGATAGATTAAATAACCAATAGTGATGCTTCGTCCAAATGCTGAGTAGGAGTGACTAGCTCAAATCACGAACTTTAGATTAGTAGTATTAGTTACTGTTTTATATACTTATAAA